TCAACAGACAATTCACCATGGATGTACAGATAGGAAATAAGCATGTAAAAAGATGCTCCACATCATATCATCACAGAAATACAAACGAAAACAAGATACCACTACACACCTTTTAGAATGGCTAAAATCTGAAACACTGACATCAAATGCTGACAAGGATGTGGAGCTACAGAAATTCTCATTCACTGCTGAGAAAGCAAAATGGCACAGCCACTTTGGAAGAGAGTAAGGCAGGTTTTTTTACTTTTGCCATATGATTCAGCAATTATGCTCCTTGGTATTTTCCCAAAAGAGCTGAAAACCTGTTTCCACCCCAACCCTACATATATATACTTCTAGCAGCTTTATTCATAACTGCTAAAATTTGGAAGTAACCAACAGGTCCTTCAGTAGGTAAATAGATAAAAAAAACTGTGGTACATCCAAACATGGAGTACTATTCAGCATCAGAAACACATAATAGCACTAGAAACATATAAGATATCAAGGCATATATAAAGGGAAAAAACTTTAATGTGTCCTACTAAGTGAAAGAAATCAATCTGAAAAGGATACATACTATGTGATTCCAATTATATGACATTCCAGAAATGGAAAACTAGGGAGACAATAAAAACAGACTGTCAGAGAGGAGTGAAAGGAGAACACACTGAGACAGATAATTTTTAGGGCACTGAAAAGAGTCTGTATATTACTGTAACGATGGATGCATGTCATTATATATTTATCAAAATCCCCAGAATGTACAACACCAAGCGCGAACCCCATTGTAAACTATGAACTTTGGATGGTTGTGATTTGTCAATGGAGGTTCATCAGCTGTAATAAATGTCCCATTCTAGTGAGGGATGTTGATAACAGGAGAGACCATGCTTATGTGGTGACAGGGAGTATAAATCTCTGTACTTTCCCCTCAGTTTTGATGTGAACCTTTAAGTGCTCTAGAAAATTAGTCTTAAAAATAATAAAAAGTTGAGTAGCTACAAAAGAGATCATACAAAGCGTAAGATATTATCTGTCCCTTTAAGAAAAAGTTTGCCTGCCCTGGTTTAATATATTAAATGAGTAGATCAGATCAAGATACTTAATTTCTATCTGCCTTTCAAAATCTCTGTAAGTCACCACAAAAGACAACTTCAAAATTTTATGTTCACTGTAATGTAATAAAAGGTATCATTAACAAATATTGGGGAACTCATGGTATAGAAAAGAGTAGACTGGATTAAAATCCACAATAGAAATGCTACAGCTAGAATCACTGAAAAGAAAATGCCACTGCAAAAATAGAAACAGGTTGTTGTTTTTTTTTTAAGTCTCAGAAAAATTCTAATTTCAAAATCAGTAAAATGAAAAGAGGCTTGGAAGAAACACCAAGGTGATGTTTACAACTAGACCAGTCTCAGCCACTCTTCCTCCCATTCATATAAAGTTAAAGATAGGGCAGCCCCAGTGGCTCAGCAGTTTAGCGCCGCCTTCAGCCCAAAGTATGATCCTGGAGACCCCCGATCAAGTCCCACATCAGGCTCCCTGCCATGGAGCCTGCTTCTCCCTTGCCTGTGTCTCTGCTTCTCTCTCCCTGTGTCTCTCATGAATAAATAAATAAAATCTTAAAAAAAAAAAAAAGTCAAAGACAACATCAACATCTACTTCCAAGATTGTGCTCTCTGACCAATATGGAAACCAAGTCCATGCTCTGCCTCAGGAGACATCTGATCTGACCATGAGGCCGAAGCTGAAGACAGAAGCAAAGGAGAGCCACTGAGAACAGCAGCATGGGATTTTAAAAAGATAAAAAGGTGACAATGACCATTCCCGGAATCAAAACAAATATATTCTAAAACTTAGCTCTAAAAAACAAACACAAAAAACAAACAAACAAACAAACAAAAAAAACAATAACAAAACCACACAAGGCTCCAAAGATGCCACATGGTCAAATTCTACTAAACTTTGTTTTTTTTTTTTTAACTTTTTTTTTTTTTTTTTTTTTTTTATGATAGTCACAGAGAGAGAGAGAGAGAGAGAGGCAGAGACACAGGCAGAGGGAGAAGCAGGCTCCATGCACTGGGAGCCTGACGTGGGATTCGATCCTGGGCCTCCATGATCGCGCCCTGGGCCAAAGGCAGGCGCCAAACCGCTGCGCCACCCTGGGATCCCTCTACTAAACTTTGAAATAACAGATGATTTCCCTGTATAACAGAGAAAAAGATAGAAAGCTTTTCACCTCATTCTATGAAGCTTACAATCCTGATGCCAAAACAGAAAACGGGGGTGCCTGGGTGGCTCAGTTGAGTGTCTGTCTGCCTTAGGCTCAGGGCATGATCCCGGGGTCCTGGGACCAAGTCCCACATCAGTCTCCCCACAGGGAGCCTGCTTCTCCTTCTGCCTATATCTCTGCCTCTCTGTGTATCTCTCAGGAATAAATAAATAAAATCTTAAAAAAAAAAAAAAAACCTAAGACCATAGAAAACAGTAACACAAAAAGAACTAGAAGAATGATCTCATTTATGATTATAGCAAAACATACAAAAATCGAATCCAGTAGTTTATATTAAAAACCACAATAACCAGTAACAATGACCAGGTAGGGTTTATTCTAGTAACACAAAGCCAGTACAACATTAATAACTCTATTAATACAATTTATTATACTAAAGGCTAAATGAGATAAATGAGACAAATTCTAATATATACCAATTATAGTTGATGCTTGAACAACACAGGTTTGAATTGTGCAGGTCCATGGATATGCAGATTTTCTTCAGTAAATACAGGGCAGTACTTGAAATGTATTTTCTCTTCTTTATGATATCCTTAATAACATTTTATTTTCTCTAGCTTACTTTATTCTAAGGATATTATTTTATTAATATTAGAAGTATTACTATTATTAAAGTATTACTGCTTTATTGTAAAAATATACTATATAACACATATAACATACAAGATATGTGTTAATCAACCGCTTCTGTTATCAGTAAGGCTTCTGGTCAACAGTGGGCTACTGCAGTTATTAAGTTTTTGGGAGAATCAAAAATAATACACAGATTTTCAAGTGTGTAGGGATCAGCAGCCCTAACCCCCATATTGTTGAAGGGTCAATTGTATAAATACTGACATACATCAAAAAAGAATTTGACAAACTTTAACATGCATCCCTGATTAAAAAACAGTAACAAATTCCTAACAAGGTGTAATAGAAGAAAACTCCCTGAACTTGCTAATTACTGGCAAAATATTAAAAGCATTAATCCAAGTCAAATAAAGATAAGGAAGACAGGGATGAACACACTCCAAAAACTGAATAGCGTACCAAGAGGCTTAGCCAATGTAAAACTGCATGAAAAATAGGTAAGATTAAAACACTGGGAAAAGCAAAAATAAAAATAGCATCATTTATATATAATGAACTTTTATCTGGAAAACACAAGATAATTAACTGAGAAATAACAACAGGAAATAAAAGTAATTATCAAGTCGATGTGATACAAAACAAGCACTTAAAACATAATAACTTTCCTACAGAACTATAATAACCAGACTTCAACAGAAACAGAAGAAAAAGATCCCATTCAAAGGAATAAATGCTACAAAATAGCAAGAATAAATCTGAGCCAGAAAAAAGATGGAAGACCAAGCAAGGCAAATATGAAGAAAACTTTCTTGAAGGATATAAAAATATTGGATGACCCTGCCCCACCTCCCCCGAATGAAACCCATACACATCATGGATGGAAAGGTTCAGTATCACAAAAATGTCAATTCTTTCTAAATAAGATTTAGAGGAATTCCAATCACAGTCCTGTGATAATACATTTCCTTCTTGCTTTAAAAACCAGTAATTCCAAGTTAATTTGGAAGAACTGATATGTGGGAATTACCAAAGAAAATCTTCAAGGAGAAACAAAAAAAAAAAAAAAATAAGAGAACTTCATACCCTCCAGATACTCAACATTTTCAATTTAAATACTGGAATTGAATGAAGGGGGCACATTAGGAGACAGTATCTGTAGTACATTTAACAACAAAAGACCACTACTAAGTGGCCCTTACATAAATAAGCAGTTGTTACCGAAAAGAGGAGGAAGGATGTGAAAATGCAATCTGCAGAAGAGGAAACGCAAGTCTAATGTGAAAAGGTAAAATATCACACAAGCATCTGGGGAAAAGCACATTAAAATGCAAAGATGTCAAAAAATAAATTAATTAATTAAAATAAGATAAAATGCTAAGAGCTCTTCTTTGTTAACCTTGGCAAATTTGAAAAGCAACACTAAGTGTTGGCAGAAATAAGAGGAAACCAGTATTGGTGCATAACTGATGGGAATGTAAATTATTACAACCTTCTTGGAATATAATCTGGTAAAAATTATTAAAATGTAAAATGAATACATGATGCTGAGAACTGCAGTTCCATGTTCAGGAATCTATCTTAAAAGTACACATATTAATGCTCTGAAAGACCTGATACAAAGATATTCACTGCTTTATTATAAAGAACAAAAATGGGAAAAAGTCCATAAACATTAATGAAGTAATTTAAAATTTTGGAGAAGACCATGCTATGGGTTACTATACCGCAATATACTAAAAAGTATCAATAATAAAATAAGTTGATATATACTAAGACATAAAGATTATCCAGAAGTCTATAATTCTAAGGAAATAGTATGATCCTATTTATACAAACAAAACAACTCTGAATCTATAAATACGTGTGCATGCAATTATCTGGGCAACATTTCTCTTTGTTTGCTAATAACTACCTTCATATACCATGTCATCATATATAGGAGGTATCTTTAATTATAAAATATTTTTTCACAACTTTTCAAATTAAATGTATTACATGCATCTCCACAGCAACCGTTTACAGATCATGATTATCTAATTACATAAGAATTTTAGCCAAAGTTTATATATAAGGACAGTGTGCAACTTTCCAAATCTGACATTCAAGGTCATGTTCAGCATGCTAGAAGGAGTGTAATTGAGCTTACCAATTTCATCAATCACTGCTCTTATTTTGGAGACAAAAGGACCAACTTCACTGGGATTCATTTTGACTCTCTCCTTAAGGTCAGCACCTGCAAAGTATTTTATTTACAAATATAATCTAGTTATAAACAAGATCTTAAGGCAATGAATTGAAAATTTACTTAAGATTCATATGTAAATTGAATATCAACTGAATATATCCATTAAAGGAATTATACTACTTAGGTTTTTCTTCTCAAAGACCAGCAGAAGGAAAAATAAAATGTCTGTTCATACACCTACCATGTGCCTAAAGCAGTGGTTCTCAAACTTTGTTGCCTCAGGGACCCCTTACACTCTTAGAGGAAGAGACTTATTTTAGATTCTATCTAGCAATAGGTGCTCTATTAAAAACTAAAACTATCAAATTTTTAAAATATTTATTCATTAATTTAGTAATACAAATAAACCCATTCATATTAACATAAATGACTACAGATTGATGCCACTTCCTTGGCTCTTACAGGGATGCTGGCAGTTTTACCCACCACTGCTTTCACACTATCAGTGCAAACGTCAACCCAGTAAAAAGGGCAAATCACCAAACATCAGTTTGATTCCATGGATGCCTGCGCCATGGTGGCTGCAGATCATGTTTCAAAAAATCACTGGCTTTCACATATGAACAAACGGACAGTTTCATTATTATGAGTTTATCACAGAATCATAAACTTGGAACAGAGAAAAATAAGAAATTCTTAAGGAATCACTCTGTGGCTCAACAAAGGCATTCTTTTTAATAAAATTATATGAGAAAAGGAAGGCTCCCATTTAAATGAACAAATACAAACAAAGCAAAATTACAGCAAAGAAGGTATACACTCAGCTCCTTGCTCTCTTCTTAATCCATTATAAAGTAATCAAGACTAGACATAATATCAAGTGCCAGCCAAGGCTGGAACATTCTGAGCCCATATACTTCCTACAGGAATGAGAACTACAACTGACAGAGCACATACCCTACAATCCATCAGTTCCTAGCTAAATATACCTTAGACAATCTCAAACATATGCCCAAGGAAATATGTACAGTAGCATTCAATACAACATATATGTAATAGCAAAAAGATTAGAAATAACCTAAATATCTCTAAGAAGCACTTTTAATAGCACTAAGATATATTTATACAACAGAAGAGTACATGTTCAGCATGAAAATGAAGGAACTAAAACATAAAGATAGATAAATTTAAATGTTGAAGAACATATAATTATGTACATTTATTATATATTAATATATAACATATTAATACATATTTATATATTTAATAACAACATATTATCATATTTACAGAAACATACACAGGATAATAACCCTTTACATAACTTTTTTTAAAAAGAATGCTCTTTGGGGGGCAGCTGGCTGGCTCAGTCAGCAGAGCACGTGACTTTTGAGTTCAGGATTGTGAGTTCAAGCCCCACACTGGGTGTACAGCTTACTAAATAAATAATTTTTTTTAAAAAGCTTTTTAAAGGTATAAAATACACATGGAAGTGATAAATATCAAATTCAATTAGTAGTGACCTCTGTGGGAAGGGATTCAGATGTGATTGGCAATGGTCACAAAGAACTTCAATCTTATTTGTAACACTGTAATGCTTGAGTTAGGTGATGGGTAATCAGTATATCAGTCTTTAAACATATGTCTTCATAATTAATTTTTTCCATGAAAAATATTTGTAGGACCAAAAAAATTCTAAGCCATTTGTTTAAAAAAAAAAAAAAACAACTGTCCAACTCACTGTCGACTTAACCCTGAGAATATCATTTGAGAATATAAAGTGTTGCTTAGTGCATGTTGGCTAATACATATTGGCTAATAAAAGTAGCTACATGCAGTGCCATATGGAGGGGAGGGTGGATAGATGAAGAGCCAAAGCAAGCATAAGTGACACACAGGGACTCTGCATGAGGTGGTCCTGAAGGAGCCCCAGGAACCTGCATCACATCCTCCAACCTAGTGTGGATTACAGCACGAGGGTGCCCTGTAACATGTCAACTAGTAACTAGTGCTCCAAAGGGGGCTTTCACCGACATCCACACCCAGGTTAAAGAGACTAGCTATTGGAAGCCATGCGGGGGAGCAAATAATGGGGGTTCGCTCTGGACAAGTACAGCCCATTCACACACACCAGTGCCAGAAGAGGTAGCTGGGTCTAAGTGCAGCCCTAACCCACACAACCATGAGAGACTTCCATGGGATTCATGGATTATTTTAGAAAAAATTACCTTTCTCCATGGGATGTTAAACATTTGTGACCTTAAGACTACTTTTTAAAAATCTTAATACCCTTTTTGTTTTTACTTTTGAAACAAACCCTGCAATTCTCCAACATTCAGAACCCAAAAGTACAGAGTTGCTTCTATCCCTCCAGATTATAAATTTCTTATTTGATAATATCACAGTTTTATTTGCAGTCTGGCGTGTTTTACTTTTTAAACCCAAGTCCATGATGATTCACCTCAGGCAGCAATTGCTGCCAGGCAATCCTATCGCGTTCACCCTGGTACTCATCTACAGACCATTTCCTAACTCCTCCCTCTCCTCAGACCTCAAGCCTCCTACTCAAACCTGACACCAACTTACTAAGAAAACAGATGCATTCAGAAGAAAAATTTCACCAACACCCACCACCAAACCTACCTATCTAGCAGGATGGAACTCTTACACTCTGCCCTCCCTTCTGCTACTACAGATGAACTAGCTCAACTTGTGCACTAAATCCCACCCCTTCTTTCTTTAGTGCCATCACTCTAGCAATTATCCTTTTCTGGTTGGCATCATCAACAGTATCCCTCTCTTGAGAACCATTCTCATCAGCTACAGGAACACTGTAATACTGCTCATCTTTAAAAAAAGAAAATGATGTTGGTCCTTTTGTCTGCCAGCTTTAATAGAATAGCTTATTATCAAACCAATTCTTTCATGAAACTCTACATAAAAAACATAGAGCAGCTATTTTGAGGGCAATGGAGAACAACGAAGACAATGAGAATGTATGAGAACTTCAAGGCAAACGTTAGTTTCTGAACAATCTCACAGAAATGGGGAAAAAATTGGAGCTCAGAGCTTGCCAAAGAGGAATGCCACAGGCTTTCATTCAGGACCTCTTAAGATTAAATATAAAACAGGGTAAACACAAAGAAAACCATACCAAGACCAACTGCTAAAAAGAAAGGACCCCCCCCCCCAACAAAAAAATAAAGAAGCTGCCAAAAAGAATAAGACTAGCAGCTGACTTCTCAACAGAAAGTGAGTGACATCTCCAAAGTGGGGAAAGACAGTAACTACCCATCTAGAATCCTTCGAAAATGATGGGGAAATGAAGACATTTGACACATATACACACGCATGGTTCATCACCAAAAGGCCCACACCACCAAAAGAGACACCACACAGAATTCTTCAAGCAGAGATTTTAAGAGTAGAGTTAAAAATCTTATTTTATACTGCTCATGAGAGATATACCTGAAAAGATAAGGGCACAGACTAAACAGTAAAAAGGTAAAAACCATGCAAACACTAACCAAAAAGAAACTTGTGAAGTCATCCCCACAGCTGACAAAGGAGATCTCAAGCAAACTATAATCTCTCAAACTAGAGGGTCATTTTACAATAAGTATGATGATCCACTAAAAGTCTTCGGATTTCTTAAACTAGAATATATAAAATAAGACAGCCCCAAAATATATAAAACAAAAACTAATGAACCAAAATAAAAACTGACAAATCTACAACCACAGTGGATTTAAACAAATCTCCCACAGTAACCAACAAAGCAAGTAAGTAAATATCTTTACTTGCTTTATTAAAGTAAATATCTGTAATAAATCTTGGTTCTTTCATACCAAGAAATGGACAATAGATAAAGATTAACCCCCACAGTAGAAGAAATAATAAAAACTGGAGCAAAACTTTTTTTAAAAAAAAGAAAACAAATACACAGAAGAAAAACATCAAAGAAGCTGCTCTTTTGAAAAAATACTAAAACAAATGATAGGCCTTTTAGCAAGACTAATCATGGAAAAAAATCAAAGGTGGCACAAATCCCAATAGCAACATTGAAAGGAGGATACTACTATGGATTTTAAATACATTAAAACAAGAAGAAAATATTACTAATAACCTTGGCCCTATACATTTGAAAAGGACATGAAATGGACACATTTCGAGAAAAACATAACTTCTTAAAACTGACAAAGGGAAAATCTGAAAACACAAATACACATGAAAGAAATTGAATAAATTAATTTAAAACTTGTCTACACAGGAAACTGATGCTGATATGGCTTCAACAGCAAATTCTTCCAAACATATAATGAAAAAACTTGGGGGTGCCTGCCTGGCTCAGGCATAGGGCAGGCAACTCTTGATCTTGGGGCTGTTAGTTCAAGCTCCACGTTGGGTAAAGAGATTACTTAAAAAATAAAATAAAATCTTAAAAAAACAACATGAATCTTACATGGAGAACTGCAAAACGAAAAATTGATTAAGAACACTTTAAGAAAAAACATGACAGTGTTTCTCATAAACACTGTCTCCAAATATCCTCAACAAAGTATTAGTAATTCATACCTAATGGTAACATAAATAAAATACAATACAGGAAGACAAAATTACATTTGGTCTAAGATTCAAGACTAGTTAAATATTGGGGATCCCTGGGTGGCTCAGCGGTTTAGCGCCTGCCTTTGGCCCAGGGATGATCCTGGAGTCCTAGGATCGAGTCCCACATCAGGCTCCCTGCATAGAGCCTGCTTCTCCTTCTGCCTGTGTCTCTGCCCCTCTCTCTCTCTCTCTCTCTCTCTCTCTCGAATAAATAAATAAAATCTTTAAAAAAAGACTAGTTTAATATTAAGTGTTTTAATTTATAAAAATAATAACATAAAGGTGAAAATCATAAAATTTTCAGTAGGCATAGCAAGAGTAGTTAAAATTCATCTCATACTTTAACATCTTGAGGTAGAATTTACATAATATAAAATTCAGTCATTTTAAGTATACAATTCAGTAACTAAGTAAATTTGCAGAGTTGCACAACCATCATC